GGCCGGCCGCGGCGCTGCCGGGCAGGGCCGTGCCTGCATCCGTAGGGATACATGGATGTATGGATGCGCGGGGCTCGGCTGTGACAGCCCTGCCGGCACCGCCCCAGAAGCCTGGCTGTGCGTTACACTTCCAAGGGTTACTAAGCTCAGCGCCTCGCTAAAATCTTACAGAGCTGTCTCATGCAGAGCTATCATGACCCATAGGGGCTTGCCAAGTGTTTCGTATACAAGCTACATGGTGTGTCTGGTATATGCTGTTATTTTTTTGTGCTGTTATTAAATGGAGTTAATCAGAGGGGGTTTTCTGATCTGCAGCCTGTCCTGAAGCTTCTCCCAAACAAAGTCCCTTTCCCTGGGTTTCAGTTGTGTCATGAAAGTGTTGGGTTTGGTTTCGGCAAGTGAATAATTAGGCAGCTGTTAGCGCGCACCATTTTCTAATTATAAGTGCAATAACTACAATTAATTAGAAATGTTGGTTACGGCAAATACTAAAATTGTTATATGCATATGGTATGTGTACATTGCACACAAGTATGTATGATTTTAGTGTTGTGCGGCAATTACAGCTGTTGGCTTTGTCAAGTTCTTGGCAGTGAATTTTGGCTTGTAAATGTCACAGGGAGCAGTAATTTGGGGGCTTTTCAGTTTGTAAACCACTCGGCTTGTCTGTCAGAACCGTGCACGGAAGAGCTGCGTGTAGCTGTGCAGCCGTGTTACCCGGGTGCGCGCAGCCCCGAGCCGACGGACGCGGTGCCGACGGCGCGGGTGGGAAGGGGCCCTTCTCCCAGGGCAGCGCGTGCCGGCACTCCCGCCTCTCAGGTGTGCTGGCCAAGGCCGGGGTGAAGGGCTGTATGCTAAAATGCCGTCTGTCCTGTGCTTTTGCAGGTGGTTCTCCTGGGGATTGACATCCTTTCCGCGCTAGTGTCCCGCTTGCAAGATCGCTTCAAGGCTCAGATTGGCACGGGTAAGGGGTCTGTGTGTGTGGGGGGGATGTCGCTATCACTCCGGTGGGATCCACTTTGGCTGCTGTACAGAAAGCCTTTTCACCTTGTACACAAAGCCTTCTTTCTCCCCCAGAGATCCCTCAGGAGGCTCTTGGAAGTTTCAGGCTCTGCTGAAGGGCGGGAGGGCTCGTCCCTCCGTCGGCCTGGGAGGGAGCAGAGGGGCTGGGCCACTGTGACAGTTTTCTTCTGAGGGATTTGGATGTTCCTGTTTTCTTTCCTCAGTGCTGCCAAGTTTACTTGATAGGCTGGGAGACTCTAAGGACTCGGTGAGGGAGCAGGATCAGACCTTGCTGCTAAAAATCATGGAACAAGCTGCTAACCCTCAGGTATGCTCGATAGCCCCTTGCAGTGTGTGAGAGCGGCTGGCTGCTTAAAAAGGAGAACTTTTTTCTGTCAGACAGAAGGTTTTCTCCTATGGCCCTATCTGAAATGGCTTCATCTCCTTACACCTTGTTATGAGATATTCGCTTCATTTGAAAATGCTGTTGTGTGTCAGGATATGCATGGGCGTGTGAGTGTCAGTGGATTTCCCAGGGACAGGGTGGGCGGGTGTCAGTGTAGTTTTTCTGGGTCCTTGGGAGGTACTCGCTTTCTGGAAGTCAAAGTACTGTTTTAGCTAATGGGGAGTTACCGTGAAGTCAGCACAGAACAAAGAATTAGTCAGATCTAAACATGTCTTTCTACTTCTTGTCCTGTTCTGCTTGGATGGATGTAAAGCTCTTATTTAAGCTCCAGAGATGTTACAGTATGTGTCTTCTGGAAGAAAGAATCTGTCTCTTCCCTCACCTTCTTTTTCCCTGTCTCACCTTCTTTTCTGTCTTCCACAGTACGTGTGGGACAGGATGCTAGGAGGATTCAAACACAAGAATTTCCGGACAAGAGAAGGGATTTGCCTCTGCCTTATTGCAACACTCAATGCGTAAGTCAGAACCTCCTGCAAACTTATGTTACGTACACAAGCCTGCTCTTTGACTCACGCCGTTGCTCTTTTGTTCTTTATTCCCAGATCTGGAGCTCAGAGTTTAACACTGAGTAAGATAGTGCCACATATATGTAACTTACTTGGAGATCCAAACAGCCAGGTAAGCTTTTGCTGCGAGTCACACCTAAAGGTTGTGCCGATGGCCTTGTTGGTAAGTGAGGCGCTGCGTTCTGGCTGGTAAATTAACTAATTGTGCTGCTGGTGGTGAACTCTGAACAGTGCTGTTTATGAAGAGCCCTTGGCTGGTTTTGAAGAGGTATAATTTGAAGTATGCCTAAACCAGCATATTGATTACCCCAAGAGTTCAACAGAACGTGAGTCTGCAGGTGAGGTGAACAGAGCAGGAAAGCTTTGTGGGAAAGGAGCTCCTGTGCTTGAATGCGGAGGGGCTGCAGGGATCCCTCTGGGATGCTCCCTTCTGCCTTCAGAGAAGAACCAGTCTGGGCAGGGAGGGCAAATGGGACCAGTCGGACAGCCTGGCCACATGCACTGCCAGAAGTTGTACAGGGAGATTCTGAATAAGGTGTGGAAGCTCTACAGGATCCTTAAGTCAGCGATGCAAAACAAATTAAAATACATGTTGAAAAAGAAAATCTCTCACTTCTACATCCTTTTTGTCCTGCCTTGGACAGGACCTAATCTGAAATCAGATGTAAGTATGTGAGGTTAGTGAGAAGAGGAGGGATGAGGAAGCAGGGTTCAAACTAATGTCATGTATCATAGGTATTAGCAGTTTTTGAATATCCCCATTGCCCTCCTAGCATGGGTGATGAATACACAGGATCCAGGTCTGGAGCGTTGTGCTGGAAGGAAGCGTGAGGTGGCCAGCTGGGAATGGGTTTACGCTGGCTCTGGAGTTGGCCATATTCCTATGGCTGTAAGGGCTTCCCCTTGCTGAAGAGGAGGACTGAGTGTGAAGCAGCCTCTCCTTGCTGGTTGTGCCAATGCAGGAGGATCAGCCTCTCACCCCAAGAAGTTTTGAAGGAAGTTTAATGTTCAGGGTCCTCTAGTTCTGAGCCACGGCTGAGCAAGCTGTTACTCTTTGAGGGGACACTGGGTTTAGGACTTTGACTTGTTGCACAGACACCTCGATCCTGCCATTGGTGAGCTGTTGAATGAATCGGAAAGTTGGTGAGGGGACCGAGGCATGTTTTCCCTCTGCACTGCCTCTTCCACGTGCCTGGCACAGCTCGTTAACCCCGTCCCCAGCAGCAGCAGGACAAGAAGGCCTGTGCCCGAACTGATCAGACAAAAATTGCTGTCGAAGCGGCTCCTGGTTGAACAGCGACTGCCCTGGGGCTGGGGCTGGTCCTGGGCTCCCCTGGGTCTGCTTCTGGGCCGCCGGTGCCTTCTCCCGTCTGCCTGGTGCTCGGTCAATGCTGCCCTCTCTTGGTGAGAGATGATGGAGAAACACAGATCCAGGTCAAGTGCAGAGTTTATCCCTTTTGTTGTGGACATGGAAGCTGTCTTGTTACTGCCCTTCTCAGAATAAGTGTTTTTTAGGTTTTATTGTTTTCAACTAATGCAGTTTAAGAGCTTGTGTAACTCAGTGAGCATCTGGTATGAAAACTGTATTTAAACTCTGGCTATTTTCTCAAAAATAAAATTGAGCACTAAAGCTTTGTTATTGGTGTGGTAGATTAAAGCAAGTATGATAGTAGGAGCTCCCTGCCTTACCCAATATGGGGTTTACCCAGTCCTGCGACCATACCTCTGATTAATTTGACACATGAAGGCAATCCTTCCAGATCACACCATGAGGACCTTTGCTGTCAGCCGCACCGCGTGCTGCGGCTGGCGGTGGCATGGCGGCAGGCTGGGAGTATGGCCGAGCTTGTCGGCATGCCCTGGCCGCTGTGCCCCTGCGGCTGGTGCCTGGGCCCCGGGGCAGGTGGACTCGCTGCGGGCAGAGACGCAGGCGCGGCGACCTCCCCTCCCTGGCTGTCAGAGGCAGGGTTAGGGTCTGCGTACCCAGAAACTGGGGACACCAGAGTCCCCCTGAGCTGTGCCCAGAAGTCCTGCCTGTTGGCATACGGGGCTGATGGGCAGAGAGAAGAGAGGCAGGACCGCTGAGTAAGGGCTGGCATGAGTGAAGGCAGCGCTTCGGAAACTGGCGGTGACCTGCAGAGCAGGAGAGTGGGGTGAGGTGAGCGTGAGTCAAGTGTTAGGGTTTTTTTGGCTAGGAAGCAGGGCATGTGTCCCTGCCCTTTGACTCCCACCTATAGGCGATTCTAGCTTGTGCCCACAAAATATCCTGTGTCTAGTCCTGATGTGTGGGGGTGCTTCCGTAGCTGCCAGGCCACCTTCTGAGAAGCAGAAGTGCACGGCTCCGTAGGTATTTCTGTAGGCAGAGCAGGCGGTTTACCTTCTCTGCCTGCTGTGTCTGATGGAGGGAGGGGGTTCAGTACAGAAAGGTGACACTTTAATCAGATTTGTGGCTCTTCAGTTGGGTAGAGGGAAGGATGTGCTCAGCAATTTCTTGCAAATCAGTTTGGAAAACATGCAAAATTCATGGTGACGCAGGTGATTGATTACTCCTCCCTCCATATTTTATTATAAACACAGAAACATAAGTTTGTAAGATGGCATTAAAAATCAGTTTGTTTTATAATGTACTAGCAATATAAGGTCTATTCGTGTCTTTCTCCTTGCTTTTTTGATCCAGTAAATGTACCTGTTGCACAGAATGGGTGGAGTTTGGCAAAGGCTCCCGAGCTCCCTGTGTGTGTCCCTGTGTAGGAAACCTTTTCATCTTGTGTCTTGCCTGCCTTTTCAATTAAATTAGACCTGCTGATACTGCTAATATCTGAGATGCAGGGATGGAAGCTCCTTCATGAGCTCTGTGGTAACATGTATAGTGGCAACTGTAGTTGCTGAGAAATATGCAAATTTCTTTTTCCAAGGTAGGGCAGGGATTGATTTATTTAAATTATAAAGATGATTGATTTCTTTCATATCTGACATTCAGGTTCGAGATGCAGCAATAAACAGCCTTGTGGAAATTTACAGGCATGTTGGTGAACGCGTAAGGGCTGATCTCAGTAAAAAAGGATTACCCCAGTCTCGGTAAGTTGAAAATGTCCTTATGTCTTCACTATTTTTGGGCTGCTTTTTATTCCCTTCCTTCCTTAAGAAGGCTTCAGGAGCTGCATGATTGAACCTTTTCCTGGGATCAGGGTTTGTTTTTTTTTTTTTCGTCCTACAAACACTCAGGTTTCACTTCATGTGGATCCTGTTCTTTTGCCCAAGTATGCCACGGCATCTTTGGAAAACCAGTAAAATCATTACACCTGCGTAGTTAAATGATGTAAGATTTAATGTGGTGTTTTTCCTGTATGTTCTGCATGTGTAGGGAGGACACTTCATAGTAGCCTGTGTTTATGCAACTTAGAAGGCTGTCATTAAAAAACCCAAACAAACAAAAAACCCCAGAACAAACAAAAAACCAAAACCAACCACCCCTAAAAAACCTAAAACAAAAAAACCACAGTCAATATCATCAGTTCCAAGGTTTAATTAAAAAAAAACCAACAAACCCAACAACAAACCAAACAAACAAAAAAAAAAACAACCCCCAAAAAACCAAACAAAAAACCCACACCAAAACCAAAGGTCTGTCCCTCTGCTTCTGCCACTTGAGGTGCAATAAGAAAGCTGCTCTGCATCTTGCTGCAGCCTCCAGTGTGCCGGGTGGAGCGCGGTCAGACCTGGGGATGGAGTGGGTGGCAGCGTGTCAGCGCACAGAGGGAGGAGGGAAGAGGTTTCGGAGGTGGGGTGCACGCAGGAGGAGGCAGTGCTGTTGCCTCTTGCTCTCCAGTGAGAACATCTGCTGCCACAATGTGGCTTAAAGTAATAAACTCTCTGGGAAGGAATAATGAGATGTGATAAGGATCTGCTGCTCTACTAGGCCTGTGACATGAATGGGAAAGAAGTGTCAGGGCCAAAGATAAATGTTGGGCAAAGTTGTTTTTAGGGGTGTGTTTTGTGGTATTTCTGCAAATACTTAAGATAGGCAAAGTGGTAATGAACTGGAAATACATCTACAATTAGAGATGTCACATCTTCAGTAATGTAGTATTTCCAATTATATTTCTTACCCCTCTGTAGTATCAGTTGTTTCTCAGTTTTTCTTATCAGCTGTTCCATGTTGTGATTTCTTAAAAAATTTTAAAATAACTTCCTTCCACACTGGCATTTTTGACAGTGCTCCCAATGACCTGAGTAAAGCAAAATTTGTCCTATAACATCTTAAATTAGAAGATTCCTAAAAGCTAAATTCAACTGTTCATTGTGTATTTCTTTAACTTTCAAACAGGTTGAATGTAATTTTTACAAAATTCGATGAGGTCCAAAAATCTGGAAACATGATCCAGAGTTCAGGTGGTGAGTAGAAGTACTTGTATTCTCTTTTTGGTATTTTTAGCAATTTTCAATTGATGAGGCATTCAAATGGACACAGAGCAAACATTCTCTTAGGGGAGATAAGTATGGGTGATTGTTCAGAAATATACACATAGCTTTTGCAGCAAATAAAATTGATGTTTAGTTAATCTGCTCTGTCTTCCTAGTAGTATCAGAAGGAGAATGAAGCATAAGTTTCAAGAACAGAAAGTGTTGTTAGAGCCGTCCTTTTCCTCTTGAGTTTCGTTAGGGACATACATCTTCTGTTCTCAAGTCCATGTGCATCTTCAAATTGTTCATAGGGTAAATTAAATAGTAATTTGAGAAGAAGCTTTTTCAGTTTAATACCCTAAATAGCACAGGAAGTGTACATATTAATGTAGTAGTGTTCCATTTAAAGCTTATACTGTCTAGGGATTGTATTTTGCAGTTCCTAAGTTTGCGTACGTTGTATGTTTATGACTGATAGTCAAAGACCTTTGTCAGAGCCTTAATTCTGTCTTTCTTGTCTGAGACTAGTATTTTGCTTACTTTAGAAACAAGTGTTTATTACTCTGCTTTTCTTATCTATAAGCTTATGAGCTAGAAAGTAGTATGTATCACTCATTTTTTAGGAATAGATTTTTGAGAGAATTCTTGGTGAGGGAATTAATCTTTCTGCCAACAGCCGAGTAGAGCAGAGATGAAGAACATGGGTTCAGTGCTGCAGGTTCCTATCCAGCTCACACCCTCCGCAAGGCCAAGAGCAGGAGAGGTGATGTCCCCAGTCTTCCCCGCCATGCTCTCAGAAGCCAAGAGAGCAGAGGGGTCTCTACTCTTCTAAATTGGAAAAAAATATCTTTTTCACTTCTAGGCACCATTCTTCTTGCCATATCCATTTTAAAACACAGTAAACTTCATCCGTGCAAGAAATAATAAAATTGATTTACTTAAAAATTCTGAGATTATATTTTGGATTATTCAGAAACGTGATGTGATATTCTCTTGTACGTTTGGGAATGATGAAGACCTAGTGCAGGTTCCTCTGTGGTGGAATGGGTTAAAATTATGTTTTTTCATAATGTGGGAAAATATTGGCTGTATAGGTAGATGAGGCTTACAGTGGCAAAAAAGTACAGTTCAGAAACAAATGTTCTTGTACTTTTTTAAAAGGGAGGGAAGTAAACATTTAATCCCTTAGCAAATATCTTAAGGTTTACAACCTTCAGGTGTTTGTTCTGAAATCCTAACTCAAACAAGCTTACTGCTGATCCAGCTTCTCTGCTTTCTACTTGGCTAGGCTAAGGTAGAATTTTTGTTTTGATAGTAGTGGAATAGAATGGGCTTTCAAAAAAGAAAAAGTTAATTTGATGCCTCATTGTACTATGTAGATTGCTGTTGTCTGGAGTTCGATGAGGCAGACTTGTGCTTTGTGGTGAGATGTATTGCTACATGGTCTTTTTAAACAAATGCTGTGATGGGAGGATGACTCTGGGTGGGATTTCTGTTGGGTTTATTCAGGGGCGGGGGAGATTTTGGAGCTTAATGTGCCCCTAGCCAAATTTAAGCTAAGTTTACAGAGAGTTTTTCTAATCCAAATGAAGGTGATATTAGTAGAAAATCAGGAAGTCACAACTGATTAGAAGAGTATTTAGTATGAAATAGGCAAGAAACATGTAAGAATAAACTTCATATAAGAGCAAGAAACTACGGTTAATTTATTTGCAGTGCAATCATTTCAGCATCTACATATCCCAGAACAGTACCAGAGACATCACTTGCTAATCCTTGGCTTTTGAGAGGTGGTTCTGGTCTCTAGACTGAACATCCTAGTGCTGTGATGTGACTCAAGCCTGCTGACACCATGGAAAACATCAAAAGAAGCAAGATGGGACAATGGGGATGTCCTCTTCTGGGCAGACAATTCTCAGTGCCATCTCTTTCCAAGAAAGCAAACCATCTGTTTTAAAATTGCCAGGGAAGGATTCCATAGGAACTTTTTCTTTTATCATAAGTGCAAGTAAAGCATTTATGTGTATTAGATCTGCTAGTTTTAGGCTTCATTGAGAATTATTTTTTCTTTTAATACCCCTTCCTCTGTCACTGTTCTGATGAATTTGAAGATTGAACTTTCTTGCAAATGCAGTGCCTGAGCCCTTACACACCCTATCTCATGTCCTTGACTCCATTGACAGGCTTCGTGTGCTTCCAGACACAAGTACTCCTGTCTTCCTCATTATGCTGAACCTGATCTGCTGATGTCTTGCTGTCCTTGCTCCCACTGTGGCTGGATGCAGTCCATAAACTGTGTGTGTGTTAGCATTTCTCCTCTGTTGAATCTCCTGTGTGGGCATTGAGACCAAAAAGTAGCCTGGGGGAAAGGGAGCTGGGGAGAGCGGAGGGGTGTTAAGGGGTCAGGGAGCAAGGCGTGGAAAGGACAGGATCTCCCAAGGGCTCTGCCAGAACCTTTTAATCTACCCTAACAACAACACAAGTCTGTAGTTTCATGAGTTAATTTTATAGTTCTCATTTGTGAAGCTAATAATGAGAACATTAGTTATATTAATATCACTTTTGTGCGTGTGTTTGAGGGGAGGGTTCAGTTTCCCATAGTGCTGTAGGCTGGCTTGTTGCTTTTTCCTCGCTCTCCAAGCACAGCACAAATACAGTATACATGCTCCCCATATCTAATGTGTTAGCAGCTCTGTGCAACTTTCAGTTTATCTTTTTGAGATTGCGTAAGCCAGTGGAGGAGGCTTATCTTCACCCATGGTCACAAGTTTATTATGGCCTAAAGACAAGCTAAGTTTGCCGGGTTTCTTGTGTCCCTGACGCCTCCTGCAGCTTTTGAACAAAGGTGACACTTTCAGCGGTTGTCAGAGTCACCAGGGAAGATGATGATAAATATTGCACGTCCAAAAGATTTGCCTTTCTCAGGAAATAGCTGTCTCAGGCCTGTTAATCCTTTGAGTCTGGCAGAATACAGTATTGATTATGAGGGTCCCTATCTGTTATCGTTAATACCACGCCCTTTAGATTGTAACTGCACCAAGGCGAACACACCACTAATGCTTTAACCTTCATGTTATATGGCCTGGATCAGATGCCTTCGGGCAATATGGTGCAGTTGTACCTTGTCTCAAAAGCTCATGTTAGTCCCCCTCTGTAGCTAGCACGTACTATTTCTAGCTCTACACAGGCTGCATGAGCGTCCCAGAGGTTTTGGGAGGCAGACTGGCAAATGTTTGTGCAGACTGCAGTCTGTAAGCCCTTGTCAGCGTAAAATGGCAGTGCAGAAGGAGCAGCGTCAGCTCCCTTGCGTGGGGTTTTCTGCCCTGAGCCGCTCCCCGTGTTGGGTGCGTACCAGCTGCAGAACGGACCCGGCTGAAAAGTAACAGGCTTCGCCCCTTGCGGAGGGGCTTTCTGTTTAGGGTTAACGCATGCCTCTGAAATGGAAAGGTTAACTGAAGCTATATCATGACTTCCCAGCTTGGTAGCAAAGATCAAAGCTAATTTTTTTTTTTATGTGGTCTCATGGGTGAATACGGTGAATCAACACTTTTCTGGTGGGTAGCTCAGGTGGGTAACCAAGAGCAAGCTGTTGGCTAAAGTGTCATTCGTGACTGAGCCCTGGCCCAGGAGCACTGGGGTTGTGCTAATTACAACAAGACTTGAAAGTGGTTGTCAAACCTGACTTATCGCAGAGCATGGTGGTACTGGGTGGGTGGGAAAGCAACTGTGGCTTCTGAAATGGAGAAATATGGTCAAAGAACAAAGATGACTAAAACTGGTCTCTCAGCTCTGAGACTACTGTTTGGGATAAGTTTCCTCGAGCAGGTCACTGAAGATGCAAATGAAAGAAAGCAACTGCAGCAGCATTTTTTGTATATCAGGAGTAATTTGGAGATGAGCGAGTATTCTGTAAACTGTTAAAGATTCCTTAACTAATGTTTCCCAAAACACAAATAAAGAGAAAACTCTTCAGTCTACTAGAAGAGGTGGTTAAAATAATAGGGCATTTTCTGATCCCATGAATAAATCTAATGAATCAACTCTAATCAGAATGTGAATTTTAAGTCTATGAAAATGATTCATACATTTCAGATTTACTTATCTTTCTATACCATGGTCCATTAGTGCTTCTTTGATTTTATCTTGAATTGCTTGATTATTTTTTTGGCTAGGCTTTGTTTTTATCATTTAGTAATACAAGAATCATGCATAGAGGGGTGGGGGAGGTTTGCATAGTAATCTGAGGTGTTTCATTAAGTCAGAGGGAGGTTTTGGCATGCTGAAGTATGCTGCTTGTTGCTAGGCTACCAGCAGCCCTTATAGCTAGAACATGAAGTTAAAATCCACGTTGGATTTCTCGATGATTCTCAGCACATCTCTGTTTTGTTATTTGGCATATAATTAGTCAGCCTCTTGAAGCAAAAATTATAGTTTTTCCCCCTGCATGCTTTCAGCAAGCTAATTATTTTTTGTGTAACTGCTTTTGCTAATTATGCAGATGCCTTATTCCCCTGGGACAAATACATTTTCAGCATGAAAGAGCCAATAATTGCCAGCTAGTCAGCTGCTGTCTTCGTGTGGCATTGTGTGATGATCTTTAGTTGGATGTGATACAGAGAGAGAGGCTATTGCACATAAACAGAGACTCCAAGAAATTCATGCTGCACCGGTTTCCTTGGTATTACGTCTGGAAGGACCTGAACATAAAGTGTACAGTTTTGCCATGGATTTGAATTGACTTTGGATCAGACCTGGACTCCAGAAGACTTTATAATCAAGTTTCCGGACAGACTAAGGATGAAATAAGTGATCTAATGAGAGATACAGGCTGATAGGAAATGATGACCCAAACCAAAGCTATTAGTAACCAAAATGTTTCAGTGCGTTTTTTATGCTCTTGATCATTGCAATATCATATTATGATGTTCTTTGATGTAAACCCTCCTTTTTTTACATAAGTCACGCAATTTTTGGGAGACGCTTCTACGTTG